ACAGCTTCAGGGTAGAAGCTGTTCCTCAGTCTAGTGGTTCTACACGTAATGCTCCACAACCTTCTGCCTGAGGGGAGTGGGGAGGTTGCAGTGCATTAAGTGTAGAACCACTAGACTGAGGAACAGCTTCTACCCTGAAGCTGTCAGACTCATAAATCCCTAACCAGGAAAATCACTGTGATGTCACTTTAATTGGTGATATGTCACGTTACCTGTGCTGCTGATTATCCATGCTGCTGATTTCTTGCCTTTTAGCTATTGTATTCATACCCATCTGCTCACAACTCATGTTCAGGCTGCTGTTTAATACACTGTATTATATTACATTATTATTGTTTAGCGTATATCTTAGATCCTTGTATACAGTTTCTTTGTTTTATTTACTTGTACTTATATGTAGCTATTTTCATGGTTTTTAAGTTCACAGGGCTTAGGTGGCCATCTTTAATTGTGTTGCCTCCAAAAGTTAAGCAGTTGTAGAATATCTAATATTTATTTCCTAAACATTTGAGTAAAATGTGTCTGGTTGTTCATGAGACATTTTGCTAACAGACAAACAAAATTAACTCCAAACTGTGACTGGGAAATTTTGAAACAGTTTTTGCACAATTTCTTCATGTTCACAACATTTGTTGGAGAACGGTCTCGGCTACAAACACCACATTTTAGGTCAATATCAGTACAATTGACAGAGTTATCGTCATCCTTGGTGTTTTTTTAAACATTTGTGGTCGTCGTCACAAACTGAGTTGACTCCAACTTTTCTTTTGCTAATGTTTATCTAATAATTACTTTTTGAAAGTTCAGTTAAAACACACAAACATACACAAAGAGAGACCGTCAAAAGCATCATTGTTTGTCTTTGCTTTTGGTGGTGGGCATTAATGAGAGTTTTCACAACAAGAAGAGGGGTAACTACACCCACCCCCACCTCCTGAACATAGGAGGATCTGCGGTGGAAGTGGTTTCCAGTTACAAGTACTTGGGTGTGCACCTGAACAACAGCCTAAGCTGGGGCAACAACTCTACTATCCTGGTCAAGAAAGCTCATCAGAGACTTTACTTCCTCTGGCAGCTGAGGCGAGCTGGACTGGGAAGCTCAGTCCTCACCTGCAGTGGAGAGCATCACCAAAGTTCATGCTCAATAATCCAGGCATAAAATCCAACAATGTTCAGTCAGATCATCTGGACAGTTTCTTTTTTTGGGCTGAGACATGAGAGCGAAGAGCATCCTGTGCTCCCGCATCAACGTGTGGCATGGAGGCTGCACAGCTGCAGAAAGAAAAGTTTTGCAGAGAGTGGTGAAGGCTGCACAGAAGTCTGTTGGAGTCAGCCTCCCCACCATCACAGACATCTATAGATGCAGGAAGAGGGCCACCTGCATCATAAAGGACCACACTCACCCAGCACACACACTTTTTGCCCCGCTCCCCTCAGGCAGGAGGTTGAGGAGCATTAAGTGTAGAACCACTAGACTGAGGAACAGCTTCTACCCTGAAGCTGTTAGACTCATGAATCCATAACCAGATTAACCATTGTGATGACACTTTATTGTTGATATGTCACGTTCTCCATGCTGCTGATCTCTTGCCTTTAAGCTGCTGTATTCATACCCATCTGCTCACCACAGACTCATGTTCAGGCTGCTGTTTAATACATCACATTATATTACATTATTATTGTTTAGCGTATATCTTAGATCATGTTGTTTCTTTTGTTACACTTTATATTTTGGCCATTTTTGGGTGTAACTGGGATCTTTGTACACAATTTCGTTCCACCTCATGTACCACAAGTGATGCGAATGACAATAACGAACCTTGAACCTTGCTGTTCCAAAGCAGAGAAGAAAGCTGAACCTTTCTCAACAGGGTCAGATGTGACCCCATCACCCCATCTAGTGTTCACTCAAAACGCTTCAGTTTTTTAAAAAGAAATTCTGAGCAGATACACACTTCTTTACTGCGGAAGCATTTCAGTTAGAGCTGCATTTATTCAAGTTTCCTGAAACAAAGTTCTAAAAAAACAAACAAACAAAAAAACACATAATCTTTCTGTTTTCCTCCACAACATCCATCCTTCACCCTTCATGAAGCTTCAGTAACTGGAAGCTGTGCCAGCCATCCACACTCAAAGTTTCAATGAGGCCGACCTGAAACACGAGCTGCAAGTTTAGTAAGATAAAAAGCAAAATAAATTAAGTAAATCTTTACTGTATTTTAATTCAATTTTTTTAATTAAAAAACATACAAAAGTCACAAAAATAATAACATTACAAAAGCGATGTAGGACTTATCATTGCTGAAAATACACAGTTATGACCTTTTTTTTTTTATAAATAACAATAAAATACCTGCTACATAAATGAAAGATGAGCCAGGGGAACATAAATGACAAATAATGTCAGAATATCTTTAAACATTTTACATCCTTAAAAGACATTTGAAACAATGATGAGTTGCTGTAGGAGGTGAAAATATCCCTTTATCTCAGGCAACGCACATTAAAGCTGCTTTCAAAGATTTCATGCTTTACAGTTTAAAGGGAATATTTAAAAACGCATGTTTACAAAAAGATAAAGGAAATAAAATTCATAGGCTAAAGCATGCCAATTACAAAGACAAAACATGTTATTCATTCATAAGTTTCCTTTTTCCTTTTACACAGATGATATTGGATAGCACCCACGGTCTGTGTAGTAAAGATGTAGAGAGCAGCATGCAGTGAAGCAACACCAGAGGGCAGTGAAGGAAAGTGTACCAGACACAGTGACACAAGAGTTCAAGGTTCTCAGATGAGAGGTATTCAAAAAAGCTGATTATTCAGTTAACACTATGAAAGCCTCCAAACACGTGAATAATAATACAAAACGTCATCAGTGAAGCTATGATGGTGAGTAGGGTCACAAAAACATGTCAATAGAGGTACGGTAAGTTTCAATGATGGAGAGAAACTGCAAAGGTGAAATTTTCCTGAGAATGGCTGTTTGCTTGGCATCAGCATAGACTGCATCAATAGTTTGGGCCTTTGTGGAAGGGCTCTCTTCTCATCATGCTGGCATAGCACATGGACGGGTCACATATTCCAGGTTGGCCAGGGTTACCACTTTTACCTTCTGCTCCATTTTGACCAGGAAGCCCAGATTTACCTGGAGGACCTTGTTTGCCATAACCATGAGGACCCATGGGACCTGTGGAAACAAGTCATGAACAGTTAAAAACAACCTTAAACAGCAGAGAAAGCTGATATTAGGAAATCTGAAGCATTGCAGCATTGCTTTTATGCCACCTTACCTAAAGAAAATGTATTTACTATGTTACTTACCAGGAGGTCCAGGTGGGCCCTGGTCTCCACTTGTGACTCGACCAGGACTCCCTTTCTCACCTTTGAAACCTGGTTCTCCTACAAACACATGTCTCCTTGTTAGTGGAACTATGGAAAACAGTTCTATGTCTAGTATGATGTTGTTTTTACCTTTGAGCCCATTAATCCCGGGATGCCCTGGATGTCCAGGGTGGCCTGGCTGACCCCTGGAACCAGTAAGTCCTGGAAGACCTCTATGCCCCTGAGGCCCAGTTGGACCTGGTGGACCAGGAGACCCAGGCTGGCTTTCACATCTGGAACAGCTCTTCTGCTGGTTGCTCGGCAACAATAAAGACAGCTCAGCTAGAAGAGTTGACAGTGAGAAAATTTCAGAGGAAGCAATTGTGACGAAACACCTCATCAGTCATTGTGAAACTCACTCAGAAGAATCTCTCTGCAGATTTGACGAATGTGGCTGTCTGACATCACACTCATCTGCAATGAAAAGTGATGAATCAAGATGGATTTTTACTTATCCCCCCATTTCACATCTTGATGAGAAAAACCTTTGTGTCCAACATACAGGTCTTCTTTCAGGTCCAGGTGGGCCAGGAGGGCCAGTGTCCCCTCGCAATCCTTGGGAACCAGGTGGGCCTGACTGACCTGGTTGACCTGGTCGTCCTACTTGACCTTCGGGCCCTCTCTGGCCTTGATCCCCTGATATCCCTTTCTAGCAAGAATACCACCCTCATGTTAGAAACAATTTCATATTCAAAGGTTGCACGGAGAAACACAAATTACTTTTTCTTTGGCTTAACGTACCTCTCCTTTTAATCCCACTGGACCAGGCGATCCCTGAGAATAAAGTCAGAGTACATCACTAAAGACATCAGAGTGATGGTAAATTTTAAAACATTATCTAAATCAACATCTATAGTAAAAATAGTCTACTGCTATTAAAGAAAAATAATGGAAATGCAGGTAAGGGTATAGAGCAGCATTCAACCACAAAGTTATAATTCAAAGTAATGTTGCTGTAGCACCATCTACTGTTTAACTATTGCATTTCAGAACAGTTTATTAAGTAACAAAGTCCATGCTCAATAATCCAGGTATACAATCCAACATGTTTCAGTCAGGTCTGTTAAGTACTCTATCATTATCCCATCAACTGTTGGCCAAGGCTGTGCCTAAATTTTATATATACTATTTAAATTGTTCCTCTTTAATAATTGAATTAGGGCACTCATTTCTCCACCAGCTCATTATCCTTCCATCTCGTCTTAATGCGTAGCTGTGTTTGACCACTTTGAGACCATCTCACTGTCTTTTTTGGAGCAGCTGATGTGCAGCATGAAGCTATCTGGTTTGATGTTGTCCCCCTTAACTCCTAAAGGAGGTCTTTCCTATTCTGGGTCCCTCTGTTCTCTCTTTTGTGAATAGCAGTTTACCAGGTGGGGTGCCAAAAAGTTTTAAACATGCTGCTGTTCAGCCTGTGCTGAAAAAAAACCTAGCCTTGACCTCAGTGGTGTTCAACTTTAGGCCTGTCTCTAGACTCCCATTTGTTTCCAAATTACTGGAAAAAATAGTTGATTCCCAGTTAAAACATTTCCTGGAGGATCATTTTGGAGGTGTTCCCATCAGGCTTCAAATCTCTCCACCACACTGAGACTGCTCTATTGAGGGTTTTTAATGACATCTTCCTAGCCACCGATGCAGGTGCTTCTGTGCTTCTTGTCCGATTGGTCCTTACATCTGCTTTTGACACCATTGACCATGAGATCCTTATTTCTAGGCTGGAGCAGTTGGTGGGCATCACGGGTTTGGCCCTCAATTGGTTTAGGTCCTACCTCTCCAACAGAACCTTTTGTGTCAACATCAAAGATTTTATTTCAACATCGGTGACACTTTGGTGGGGGGTACCGCAGGGGTCCATTCTTGGTCCTCTTCTCTTTTCTTTATACCTTCTGCCTCTAAGTGCCATTTTTTGTAAACACGGCATACATTTTCATTTTTATGCCGATGACTGTCAAATTTGCTTCCCTCTGAAGCACACTGGCGCACACTCTATCCAACTTCTTCTTGACTACCTGGCTGACATCAGGGATTGATGGCTTTAAATTTCTTACATTTTAAAGAGAAGAAGACAGAACTCATGTTGTTTCTATGGCACATTCAAGAACCATTGTATCGACCTTTCCTCTCTAGCCCCGTTATAGAAACAAGGTGTCACTCATCTGGGAGTGAAAATGGACCCTTCCATGAAGCTAAAGAGTCATGCAAACATGATTGTTAAATCCTCTTATTTTTCAGTTGAGGCGATTGTCTAAATTGAAGCCAAGTCTGTCCAAAACTAACCTTGAGACAGTAATACATGCTTTCATATTATTCAAGATTAATTACTGCAATGCACTTCTTTTTGGAATCAGTCAGACCTCCTTTACACATTTATAACTGGTTCAAAATGCTTCAGCCTGATTTTTAACTGGTACAGGCAAAAGAGAGCACATTACTGCAGTTCTGGCCTCCCCTCACTGGCTCCCAGTTCACTTTCAAATTCATTTTAAAATCCTTCTGTATGTTTTTAAATTTCTGAACAGTTCTGACCTCTCCGATCTCGCTGATCTGCTGCAGCCATAGCCACAGCGCTCTCTGAGGTCAGCAGACCAGATGCTTTTAGAGGTTCCAGGCACTGGTTTTAAGCTCAGAGGTGACAGGGTTTTCTTTGTTGCAGGTTCAAAACTGTGGAATGAGTTACCACTGCATGTCAGGAAGGCTCCCTCGCTTACTATTTTTAAGTCTAGTTTAAAAACACACTTTTATTCCCTGCCTTTTGACACCATGTGAGTTGATTTTAACTTGTCTGTATTATATAATGTTAGCCATTTAGTTCCTATCTTTACTTCTGTGGATATATGTATTTTTTGCAATGCCCTTTGCTTGTTTTGTTTCATTGTACAGCGCTTTGGTCAGCCTTGTTGCTGTTTTTAAGTGCTTTATAAATAAATTGGTATGGTATGTGTCATGAGAGTGTATGGATCACTTTAAATTTACAAATATGTATTATATTTGATGCATTTTTAAGGTAGTGATTCAACTATTTGCTGAGAAATTAAAATAAGTAGTATGAAATTGGACCGGGAAGACATTTAGGAAAACATGAACTCTGCTTCAGTGCCTCATTGGTGGGATTATTTATTAAAAGCACATAAACTATAACTGTTTTTCCTAGTTTAAACAGATCCCAATTAAAAGTTGCTCCCCAGATTTCACTGAGATATACTGAAAAATAGAAGCAGCTTCTGGAAAAATGTTAATATGTTACAGTATTCTGATTATAATGGAAAGGTAAAAATGCAACATTCCAAGAGTTTAAAGTTGAACACATCTCTGGATATCTAAAATAATTGTTTTGTTTCAAGCTTACAATAAAACATTTTATGCTGCACAAGAAATGTTAAGTCATTACATTTCAAGAAAGTCACCTGAATCCCTGGCTGACCATTCTCTCCTGGTTCGCCTTTCAATCCCTGGTGAAAGAAAGGAAAAAAATAAATAAAAAACTTTATAAAAGCAAAGTTTCAGATCAGTCAATGATGCAAATGAGCAGTAGTACAAAAGAGTTAGAACATCTTGTAAAAAATGTATATGCAGAAGTTGGTAAGTTCAGTTTCAGGATCAATTTTAAATTGCAAATTTAATTTTGTCTAATGTCTTTTCTGCATCCAAGAGTTCATTAAATCTGAACCTTTATAACCTTTACTAAACACTATGTTACACTAATGCAGAGCCTAATAGCAAGAGTTTTAAGCCGTAAACATCAGTCTTACCATTTCCCCTCTTTCACCAATTATTCCTCGTTCTCCCTGTAAAATATGAAAACATAGAATATGACATTGTATTTTTATGGAACTGTTTTGTTAAAAACAAAAGCACCAATTGACCTGACCTCTACAAGATGTGAATATTGGATTTAAAGAAAGGTAATAACTGTGACAATAAATATGAAATGAACAACAGTAGATATTATACTGTACCTTACTTCCCTTCAGGCCTGGCATTCCCGGGTGTCCTGGCAGACCAGGTGTTCCTGGTTCTCCTGCATGTCCCTATAAACAAGTCCAGGTTAACATCAATCAAGGAAAAATGTAAAGAATGAAATAAAAAAATTAAACTTTTTACTAAAGGCCCAAACACTTTTATTCCTGCATAGATAAATGAATGCATTTGCTCTATTTACTAATTTTCTTGTATTGTCAGTCTGTTTCAAATTCAGTTTAATTGGTTTATGCTCGGGCAGCACGGTGGCGCAACTGGTAGAGCTGCTGCCTCTCAGTGAGCAGGTCCCTGGTTCAAACCCCGGTCCAGGGGCCTTTCTGGGTGGAGTTTGCATGTTCTCTCCGTGCATGCGTGGGTTTTCTCCGGGTACTCCGGTTTCCTCCCACAGACCAAAAACATGCATGTTAGGCTGATTGGTAACTCTAAATTGTCCCTAGGTGTGAGTGAGAGAGTGAATGGTTGTTTGTCTCGTGTGTCTCTATGTGGCCCTGTGATGGACTTGCGACCCGTTCAGGGTGTACCCCGCCCCTCGCACAGTGATTGCTGGACATGGGCACCAGCGACCCCCGTGACCCAAAATGGAACAAACGGGTAAAGAAAATGGATGGATGGATGGATGGTTTATGCTCATATATTTAATTGGAAACTTACTGTGGACCCCGGGGTTCCTCTTATCCCTGGACTTCCAGTCTCACCTTTATTTCCCTTGAATAATGAACAAAGCATGAATTATTTTGCAGCAAACATTTAGTAAAAAAAAATAAATGACCAAATATTGACTGGAGCAAGTCTAAATTATGATTCTGTAACAATCTTGATCTCTGATTTTTAGTTTTCTCACAGTGTAGGATTCAAACCGATCCAAACTCATTGCAAAGTGTTTTCTACTTCAATGCATTTGTTTTGAATTTGGTGACGTGGGACTTATGATTTGGGAATGTTTCGTCAAATAAGTTTTTGCTGCTCTGCACTTTTTGGCAACTGCACTGCACATTGCTTGGAGTCTATTTAAATCCAAACATGGCTCTGCTTGCAGCTGGCTTGCAGCTAATGCTAACATGACAGAATTTCTCTGAGGTTACGGACTTTTGAAGTGGTAATTCACAATAACGTTGGGTAAATCCCTAAGGCAACTCACAATCAATGTAGAGATGATTCCTTGTTTTGAATATTTAAAGTCTTTTTTATGTCATTTTGTGAGATTAAAGTCAGCATATATTTAAGGGTTGTTATAGTTTGGCTGCGCTATTTTAAAACAATGCATTCACGATATGATTACCTTTGGACCAGTTGATCCTTTTATACCAGGTTCACCAGATAAACCCATTTCACCCTGCAGAAAAGATGTTCATATATTTAAGTCATTTCATTTGTAACTTTTTTAATGTCAACATTTTGATGCCACATGGATCTTACAGGGAGTCCAGATGATCCTTTGAATCCTCTTGCTCCAGGCTCACCAGTTTCCCCCTTGAATGATAAAAGTGTCAGACACAGTTATGATGACTGACGCTAAACATTTATTGAGTTTAGTTTTTACCTTTTGTCCATCGAGGCCTGCAATTCCTGGCAAACCTGGCAATCCCTGGAAGGAATTGAGTGTCACAGATTAATTAATTTAAAGTGATAACAAACAACTGAAACAAAATGAAACACATTGGACAGTATCTATGTGGAAATACAGTAAATATGTGTTTCAATAAAAATGTTTCTAATACCGTATTTTCTGCCGTACATGTCGCACCACCCTTTAAGTCGCATCAGTACAAATATGTCTTAAGTGGAAAAATCCATAAATACATCGCTTCGCCGTATATGTCACACTTATTATGCGTCACCATTGATGCATCGCATTTGTTATGCATCACCACTGACAACCCGGAATTGTGGGCCAGTTTTGTGCCAAAAATTGATTGGCTGCCAAATGGTGTCCGCAGGAGCATGCAAGGGAGGATTTTAACAAGATTAACACTTAAAAACAATTATTTGTTTGCTCGAAATTATAGTAAAGGTGTGTCTCAGTTTAAATGTTCCTTAATAAATGCACTTTGACGGTCAGATCAGCTAAATTTCAAAAGCCACTTTGAAGCTGCGGGAGCGCACAGAGGGACGACTCGCTGTGCATTTCTTTGAAATTTAACAAGAGAACTACCTACAAACTTTTTTTGTTTGCTTGAAATTATAGCAAATATGTGCCTGAGATTAACTTTTCCCTAATAAATGCACTTTGACGGTCAAATCAGCTGCATTTTCAAAAGCTGATACGCGGAAACAGGAATGCGAAGAGGGCGACTCGCTGTGCATTTCTTCAAAACGTAACAAGATAATCACCTAAAACAATTATATATTTGCTCAACATTATAGCAAAGGTGTGTCTCAGTTGAACTTTTACTTAATAAATGCACTTCAATGGTCAAATTAGCTGCATTTTGCCGGAGTGGCGCAGCAAAATGAAGCTGATTTGACAGTTGCTCCATGTGAGTTGGACGAAGGTGATGGGCTATGGCAAGTCGATTGTGTCATTAATAGCTACTTTTTACCTATTACATGAGACATCGGCATACCATACTACTTGAGTCCCATCTAGCGGCTGAAAATGGTAGTGTTCAATATTTTCAGTCAGAATGAATGAAAACGGTTATATCTCAGCCAAAAATTGGTTTATAAATATGGGAAAACATCCATAAATACGTCACTTCGGCGTATAAGTTGCAGGGCATGCAAATTATGCAAAAAAAAAAAAAAACTAAACTAATAAACACGCAACTTATAGGCCAAAAAATACGGTAACCATAGTCATTGTTGGTGCAGATGTTTGAAAGTTTTAATTTATGACATTAAAAACCATTTATTTGTCTTTGGTGATTTTAATTTCGTGCATTGTGTTTTGCAGCTTTAGGTGCATGCAGATGTTCAGTTAATTTCTTTAACAATTTGAGCCTGATCTGATGAAAGCATTATGTATCCGGCTGGGCATTCAAATAATACAGACACTACTTGGGGGAAATTAACTTTGAGTTACTTACTCTGTTAACTATTTTTAATCTACGTTTCCATAGTTATAATTTGCTTAATTGCTTGTTTAGTCTCCTATGATCATGATTTTTTAAATCTGCCTTTCTATTAGTTTTACATTTACTTTGGACAGTCTACATGACTTCTGATTGGTTCTGCTCACACAGACTCATGTTCGTGCTGCTGATGTTCACTGTATTGTTTTTGTACTATTAGTGCTTAGTGTATTCTTAGTTTAGCATATTTCTTAATTCATATCTTAGATCTTACTACTGTCTACATTTTTTTATTACTTTATTTTACCAGGAAGAAATCCATTGAGATCATCAATCTCTTTTACAAGGATGTCCTGGACAATTCATACTTTTCTTGGATGTAACTGGGACCATGTGAACACAATTTCGTTCCACCACATGTACCACATATGATGAGAATGACAATAAAGAAACCTTGACCTTGACCTTGATAAGGATCAGAACAGGGAAGTGGGATGCTGCATAAATTAAAGTTACCCATCTCCGTACTGTTGTCTCTTTTTACTTAGACTGAATTAACAACCACATCTTAAACCCTCATGTGACATACATTATAGTGCATTTAAAAAATATAAAGTCAACTCAGCTTATTTCAAAGCTACAGAGGAAAGCTTTTTTACTTTTCTATTTTAATCACATTTTGTGAGATAAGAACTTGCAGCTGTTTAGTTGTTACCTTGGTATAAAATCTGATCATCGTTAGTAGAAAGAAGACTGCATTTAGTTTCACAATCATCAATTCAGTGTGTGCCTGTGGGAAAACATGTTCCCATGTAGGGGGTCCACACTGACAGGTTGCATTTTGTTTTCTGCTGAGCATGTTCATCCCTATTTCTGTCCTCTTGGATAAGCCGACATCTGCAGTTCTGGTTAAGGAGAAATGACCCACGGCCTTCTGGAGAAATTGACTCATTTCTTCGTAGACCCATCTCAAAACTTTTGACAACAATTAACGATCACGAACAGTGGGATGGCTGCCCAGCTGAAACAATTTATTCCTAAAACAGATTTGCCAGAACACCACAGTATTCCCTCGGTTAACTACTTTCTGCTTGTTACATAACAGGGTTATCCTGGGATGAACTGCTGGGGAAATACCACTAATTTACTGGCTGTCGGGGGCAGACTTTATAGAGTTGACAGTTAACACGCTACAGCCTCAATACAACATAAAACTTTATGCAGGCAACTCTTTATGAGTCATAAAATTCACAACTTTATTTGTCATTTTTAATATTTTGCTCAGGAGAATATTATTTTATGTTAAATAAAAACAATAGCATACCAGGGAGTTTGTACAACTTTGACCAGATAACAATTTTGAACAAACTGGCAGTGTCAGATTAATATGTTGTTCCTGTACAACTGGAAAACAGGAACACTTTACCATAAGGTAAACAAATTTTGCTTAACTACTAGAGAACACCTCAGGATCAAATAAAGAGCTAATGGGTAGTTAACCCATACTTACTAGGGAACACAAAGTCAAGCTTTATTAGGGTGTTACGACTGATGTCGTAAATTGCACGTGTGAGTGTGAAAAACCTTAATTGTGCCAATTAGTGTCCAGGTGTGCGTCTGGAGGAAGACACTGCTGTGATTGGCTGCCTGCCTGGAGGTGCTGCATAAGAGGAGCTGAGTTGGAGATGACATTGGCTTTCCATCTACTCTGCGTGTCCCAACCAGCCACAGTTGACCTGCTGTTTATCATTATATACATTAATATAGTTCTGTAAGGAGTTCTTGTAGGAGTGAGCTGCCATTTTAGTTAAGAGCTTTTTTCTCCTGATTTTGTTAGTTTAGGTCGGGTAAGAGACCTGTATTTTGGTTACTTTTGATTTGTTAGGTAAGTGATTAAAAATAGGAATAAACTCGTTTTGTTTATTATTATGGCCTGAGGCTCACCTTGAAGTCTGGTAAGACTCCAATGTACATGTCATCGTTCATTCATCTTGTAAATAAACACTGTTAACCTTTTCATTCGACTCCGTGGCTGCTTGAGGTGTGCAGAGGGTGGAAACGCCCACCTTTAATTACAACCTGGCGCAACGAGCATTTTGCCAGTTGTAACAAGGGGACTATTGGTTAGTTACCTTGTAAATGAAAAGGAAGAAATCAAGAATTAATGGGTAGTTACCAAGGAAGCCAAAAAGGAATGAATCAGGAGCTAATGGGTAGTTAACCAGTACTTACTGGGGAACACACAGCCAAGCCTTATAAAGGAACAATTGGTTAGTTACCTTGTAAATGAAGAGGAACTAATCAAGAGCTAATGGGTCGTTACCAAAGCAACCAAAGAGGAATGAATCAGGAGCTAATGGGTAGTTAACAAGTACTTACTGGGGAACACACAGCCAAGCCTTATTAGGGAACAATTG